GCATTGTGTCTGGTGCTTTTTATTAAAAAAAAAAGTATTTATTTATTTTATTATTATTTTTAAGATTTTATTTATTTATTCATGAGAGACACAGAGAGAGAGAGGCGCAGAGGCAGAGGCAAAGGGAGAGGCAGGCCCTGTGGGACTTGATCCCGGGTCTCCAGGACCACGCCCTGGGCTGAAGGCAGTGCTAAACTGCCGAGCCACTTGGGCTGCCCCCTAAAATTCTTTATTTAAATTCAATTTAGTTAACATATAGTGTATTATTAGTTTGAGGGGTAGAATTAGTGATTCATCAGTTGCATGTAACACCCAGTGCTCATTATATCACATGCCCTCCTTAATGCCCATCACCCAATTTTACCCCATCCCTCAACCTACCTCCCCTCCAGCAACCCTGTTTGTTTCCTAGATTTAAGCGTTTCTTATGATTTGTCTCCCTGTTTTCATCTTATTTTATTTTTCCTTTCCTTCCTGTATGCTCATTTGTTTTGTTTTTTAAATTCAACATATGAGTGATATCATATGGTATTTGTCTTTCTCTGACTGACTTATTTTGCTTAGCATAATACTCTCCAGTTCCACCACGTCGTTGCAGATGGCAAGATTTCATTCTTTTTGATGGCTGAGTAGTATTCTGTGGTGGTGGTGGTGTGTATACACACACGCACACCCTCCACATGCATACATACCACATCTTCTTTATCCATACATTCTGTTGATGAACATCTGGGCTTGATGAACATCAAGGCCATATTTTGGCTGTTGTGGACATTGCTGCTGTAAACATTGGGGTGCATGTGCCCCTTCAAATCAGTATGTTTGTATCCTTTGGAAAAATATCTAGTAGTGTAGCTGCTGGGTCGTAGGGCAGTTCTTTTTTTAACTTCTCTAGGAACTTCCATATTTTTCAGAGTGGTGCTTTTAAGATACACTGGGACTCAGGGTTTTCTCTTGTAGCATTTTTTTTAATTGCTAAGCAAGGTAAATCTGAATATAAGCTAGAATGGCTATAGATGTAAATGTTTCAGTTAGATGAATTGGACTCTATTTACTTCAGCTTCTTTAAAAAATACACTTTGCTTCATACACCATAAGGATGTATATATACATATATTTGTACATATTTATTTATTTTTTTTTAATTTTTATTTATTTATGATGGTCACCGAGAGAGAGAGAGAGAGAGAGGGGCAGAGACATAGGCAGAGGGAGAAACAGGCTCCACGCACCGGGAGCCCGATGTGGGACTCGATCCCGGGTCTCCAGGATCGCGCCCTGGGCCAAAGGCAGGCACCAAACCGCTGCGCCACCCAGGGATCCCATATTTGTACATATTTATTTTTTTTTCTTTTTTTTTTTTTTAATTTTTTTATTTATTTATTATAGTCACAGAGAGAGAGAGAGAGAGAGGCAGAGACACAGGCAGAGGGAGAAGCAGGCTCCATGCACCGGGAGCCTGATGTGGGATTCGATCCCGGGTCTCCAGAATCGCGCCCCGGGCCAAAGGCAGGCGCCAAACCGCTGCGCCACCCAGGGATCCCATATTTGTACATATTTAAAATATACATATACACGTATTTTTAAATACCACTTAACACTTAGGAACTTGTTTTATCTTTTTTAGCATTCGATCCTGTTTCCTTTCCAATGCCTCTCTCTGCTGTTTCTTAGGGATGTGGCCTGTCACCTAGCTGTGAGGTCATTGGCTGTTTTCTTCCCTTTTTTGTACCCCCACATTGTGTACACTGAAAACTTGATGTGCGCTTAGAGTAAATGTTTGTTTTACCAGCTCTATGAGTTAGTTGGTGGGAACCTAGGACATCACGTAACAGTGGCTTGGAAGTACAGACTTGTGATTGCAGGGGAAATGTGAAATTACTCCTAATAGTGTAGCAGTAATTATGCCTCATGTGAGGCAAGTGATGATTTTTTAAATCTTTTGATTTTTTAAAACCTGTAAATAGTAACAATTCTTGATGTCCTAAAGCTGTTAGTAGCCAGTAAAACCTGCGTTTGAATATAATTAACGTAAAAACTATCTACTGTAATATTAGGGAATACATTTCTGAAAAAAAAAAATGTAAACCAGATTGTGAGGTTTACATGGAAAGCAGCAATTTCAAACTCCTAGTATTTGGTTAACACCTTCCATTAGAATTCAGAAGATTATATAATTTCCAAATTTTTAAAAATCTCATTTTTTCTCATTTTTTGGGAAAAATACAAGTTATTACATAGGTTTTGATATTTTGTTTGTATTCAGCTCAGCATTTGATTATCTGTGGCACACCTTTCATGTTGATAAGAAGTATGTCATTAAACCTTTGCAGAATCTCTGGTTTGCACATTTCATATCAGTAATGAAACTTTGGCAGTGACTAGAGCAGTCTTTAGTGACCTGAATTGCTTTTTTTCTTACTGCTCTTTAGGGCATTTGGTAGTTTACAACATTGCTCTTTACCAAATTTGACTTGCTACTATAATTGCCAGAAATGTACATTTATTTTTTAGTGAAGAGCCATCACTTTTAAATTGAGGTAAAATTTATTCCAATTTTGCATTGGTTTCAGTATAATGCATTATATATTAGTTTCAGGTGTACAACATCATAATTTGATATTTGTATATATAGCAAAGTGATCACCATAGTAAACCTAGTTAACCATCTATCACCGTACATTTGACTCCTTTACCTATTTACCTACCTCCAGCCCCTGTGATAACCACCACTCTGTTCTCTATGAGTTTTGGTTTTTAGGTTCCACATATACATAAAATCATACAGTATTTGTCTTTGTCTGTCTGACTTCACTTAGTATACCCTCAAGGCCCATCCATGTTATTGCAAATGACAAGCATTCTTTAATATCGCAGAGTAGTATTCCATTGTGTATATATATGATATCTTTATTCCTTCATCCATTGATAGACACTTAGGTTGTTTCCATATTTTGACTGTGGTAAATAAGGCTGCAACTAACTGAATATGTTTTTGGTTTAGTGTTTTTGTTTTCTTTGGATAGATATCCAGCAGTAGAATTGCTGGATCATATTGTAGATCCATTTTTAATTTTTTGAGGAACCTCCATACTGTTTTTCATAGCTGTTGTATCAGTTTGCATTGCCACCAACAATGCAAGACAGTTCCCTTTTCTCCACATTCTTTACAACCCTTGTTATTTCCTGCCTATTTAATAATAGCCATTGCAGCAGGTGTGAGGTGATATCTCATGTGGTTTTGATTTGCATTTCTCTGATAATTGGTGATGTTGAACATCTTTCATGAGTCTGTTGGCCATCTCTGTGTCTTCTTTGCTAAAAGTGTCTATTTGGAGTCCCTGCACATTTTAAAAAATTCTTTATTATTTTAGAGAAAGCATGTGTGAATAGGGGGAGGGGCAGAGGGAGAGAGAGACAATCTCAAGCTGACTCCCCACTGAGTGTGGAGCCCCATGTGGAGTTTGATCTCATGACCCTGAAGTCATGATTTGAGCTGAAATCAAGAGTCAGATGCTTAACTGACTGAGTCACCCAGGAGCCCCTCTCTGCACATTTTTGAATTGGGGTTTTTGTTGTTTTTTAGTTGTTTGAGTTTTTAAAATATATTTTGGGTATTAACTCCCTATTGGATATATGATTTGCAGAATTTGTTTTCATTTAGTAGGTTGCCTTTTCATTTTGTTGATGGTTTCCTTTGTGTGCAGAAGCTTTTTAGTTTGATGTAGTCCCACTTATTTAATTTTGCTTTTGTTGCCTTTGTTTTTGGAGTCAATTCCAAAAATTCAACACTAAGGAATGTCAAGGATCTTACTGCCGAGGTTTTCTTCTCAGAGTTATGGTTTCAGGTCTCACAATCAGGTTGTTAATCCACTTTAATTTTTTGTGTGTAGTCTTAAGATGGTCTAGTTTCATTCTTTTGCATGTGGCTGTCCAATTTTCCTATCCCTATTTATTGAAGAAACTGTCCTTTCCTCATTGCATTTTCTTGACTCCATTGTTATAGGTGTGTGTTTATTCCTGGGCTCTTTGTTCTTTTCCATTGATCTATGTGCATTTATACTGATACCAACTATTTGGCTACTATAGCTTTGTAGTATAATTTGAAATCTTTCCAGTTTGGATGCCTTTTATTTCTTTTTCTTGCCTAGTTGCTGTGGCTGGGACTTCCACTACTATGTTGAATGAAAATGGCAAGAGTGGGCATCCTTGTCTTGTTCTTTATTTTAAAAGAAAGAAAAGCTGTTAGCTTCTTTTTTTTTTTTTAAGATTTTATTTATTTATTCATCAGAGAGAGAGAGAGAGAGGCAGAGACACAGGCAGAGAGAGAAGCAGGCTCCATGCTGGGAACCTGATGTGGGACTCGATTCTGGGTCTCCAGGATCACACTCTGGGCTGAAGGCGGCGCTAAACCGCTGAGCCATCTGGGCTGCCCTGCTTCTCATAGTTGAGTATGATGTTATCTAATGACTTTGTCATATATGGCCTTTATTATGTTGAAGTACATTTCTTCTGTAGTTGCTTTGTTGATTGAGTGTTTTTATCATAAATGGATATTGAATTTTGTTAAATGCCTTTTCTGTACCTATTGAGACAATCATGTGATTTTTATCCTTTGTTTTGTTATTGTGCTGTATCACTTTGATTTGCAGATGTTGAATCATCCTTGCGTTCCTAGATTAAATCCCACTTGGTTGTGGTGTATGTGTTATCCTTTTAAAGTATTATGTTTTGTTGTTGTTGTTTTGAGTAACTAAAAAAGAATTTGAAGGCAAGAGGATGCAAGCAGTATAAAAATCAAAAGCTTAACCAGCTTTCACTGACTTTTCTTTCTCTGCTTGTCAAATGGGGATTGGATTTTACTTGTACATTTTCTGAGAGTCCTGAACTGCTCATGGACTCCTTTATACAAGGTGAAGCTATGGGGCAGATTCCTTAAGAGACTCCTTAAGAGACATTTTGGGAGAACTCTCATCCGGCAGAAGTGTTGTTCATGTTTCCTACTTTTTCCCCTTCTGCTTCATGTATACTACAAAATAGTCATTGCATGCAATGGTAAGCCCAGCAATTTGTAAAAAGAAGCTCTGGGAGTCCACTTTGCCATCTCGGCTCTGGTCCTGGTCCTTCGTTATTTTGTCCACAGCCAGAGGGTCTTCTTGTTTTTCTGAAAATCTGGGAACTCTTTTTTCCATGAGTACTCTCAGGTCCACCTTTGTTAAGTAGCTTTTATCCCCAGCAAACTTGTAAGACATGAAGATCACGGTTTCCATGGTATGTCCCATTTGAGACTGCATTTTGGTGAGGTCTTTTGAAACCTTGGCCAGAGGTACAGTGGGGACCCCTTTTGATATATTGTTGAATTCAGTTTGCTAATATTTTGTTGAGGATTTTTGGATCTATGTTCATCAAGGATATTGTTGTGTCTGTAATTTTTGTGTGTGTGTGTGTGTGGTGTCTTTTTTTGATGTTAAGGTTAATACTAGCCTTGTAAAATGAGTTTGGAAGCATTCTCTTCTCCAGGTTTTGGAAAGTGTTTGAGAAAGATACATGTTGAATTTTCTTTGAATGTTTGGTAGAATTCACCAGTGAAGCCATTGGTCTTGAACTTTTGCCTATTGGGAGGTTTTAGATTACTAATTCAGTCTCTTTACTAGTAATCAGTCTATTCAGATTTTCTATTTCTTCATGTTTCAGTCTTAGAAGACATATGTTTCTAGGACTTTGCTCTATCCATTTCTTCTAGATTGTATAATTTGTTGGTGTGTAGTTGTTCATACTAGTCTCATAAGATTGTTTTTTGTTTTGTTTTGTTTTGTTTTGTTTTTGGTATCAGTTGTAATTTTCTTCTCCCTGTTCTCATGGGGCTGTTAAATATACTGCTATCCCTCCCTAGAACTTTTTCTTTCCTTCTCTGCCTACTCAACTTATATTCATTTTTACAGCCTCAATTTAACTGCCCCTTTCTCATAGGCCTTCTAAGACCACACCACTTCAAGCAACATTCCTGCCATTTTTATTTCTTCCTTCTCTCCTCTTCCCCTCCCTTAGCTTTACTTTATGTATTAGAATGCCTTAGTCTACTGGTAATAGAGAGCCTAACTCAACCTGGCTTTTTTTGTTGTTGTTTTGTTTTGTTTTGTTTTGTTTTTTCAACCTGGCTTAATCAGGACACATATAAGCTTACATTATTGGAAGGCTGCTAGTAAGGTGGTCTAAGGGTCATCTTATTTTAGTGCCTTCAACTCCAGTTCCTCTGAGGTTCCATTATTTATACTCTGTGCCATGGCTTTATCCTCAGAGTGCTTTTTCTCATGGTAATAAAATGGCTGTTCCTTGCCTCAATTTCAGCATTCTGCAGAGGAAGAATAGAGTTGCTTCTAGGAGCTTTGCCATAACAATGAGGAAATCTCTTTCTTAAAAGCTTCTCACAAATATGTTGTCAAGCATATTCTCATGTCTCTGTTTTTTATTTATTTATTTATTTATTCATGAGAAACAGAGAGAGAGAGGCAGAGACATAGGCAGAGGGAGAAGCAGGCTCCATGCTGGGAGCCCAGTATGGGACTCGATCCAGCCTTCCAGAATCATGCCCTGAGCTAAAGGCAGACGCCCAACCACTGAGCCACCCAGGCATCCCAATGACTCTGGTTTGAATTGGAATTCATGCACATTCCTCAGTCAGTCCTTGTGGCAGAGAATGTCTGTTACTGAATAGGTTAGGTCTGTCAGTTCCTGAACCAATCACACTGTTGAGAATGGGATTGCCCTGATTGTCCTGGACCAGTGGTTCTCAAAGTGTGGTCTCTGGAGCAGCAGCAACATCACCTGAGAACTTCTTAGAAATGTAATTTTCCTGACCCCATCCAAAAAATTTTGGGGATGAGGCCCACTCATCTGTTTTAATCAACCCTGTCAGGTGATTCAGATGCACCTTAAAGTTTGAGGAAGTCTGGCTAATAGTAATTAGGATCCAGTTCTGGAGCTGAAGTTAGTCCACTCAAATGTTATATACTGCAGAGAAGAAGGATCATAAAATGGATATTTGGAAAGACAGCCTTAGTGACCACTATCCTTGTATAGCACTCATCACAATTTCTAATTATGCATTTGTTTGTGTAATGTCTCTGTTCCTTACAACACGTTATACTCTGTGGTGACAGTCTGGTTTTCCACTGTAGCCCTAATTCCCAGCATCGTACCTGTCTAGTGTATGTTAAGTGCTTAATGAGTTCTGGATGAGAACTTCATTTCCATTTGTGTATTTCTCTCACAGCTGGGGGTGATGTGTGTGTGCACACCTACCTCAGTGGACAGCCCTTTGAGGAATCTCAGCTGAGCATGCTGGCTTGTTTCCTTGTCTACCACTCAGTACCAGCTCCATGGCACCTGCCATCTATAGGACTAGAAGGTAATTATTGATCTAAGTCCTCTTCAGTACCTGTATTATTGACTCACTTATTTTTTAAGTATCTTGGTAGGAGGTAATTCTAGTGAGTTAGGTGTTGGTTTTCATTCGTGTTTGGGTGTTATTGTTGAGAACTTTTTCTCAAAACATCTGAACTTTATACATCCGTAAACTTATTTACATTCAGGAAAGGATGGGTTCTTCAGAGAGCCCCAAGCACCAGTAAATACTAATAAATTAAATATTTATATTATTTTTCTTTCTTAATTTTTATTAAAGTTATTTTTATCTTTATTTTCTGGGTTTTTAGTTTGGATGTTTCTTTTTAATCAGATAATCGTAATTTCCAATATTATAAGGTTTTAAGATGACCAGGTACCTGATTTTGTGTGAATTTGAATGTTTTTGTAATACAGAGTTTGAAATATTAGCACTTCACTGTATTTTTCAGAATATGTAATCAGATATGGAGTTTTCCCAGTAACCTGAATCAAAATATAATTCTAAGCACTTTTATTATTATCACTTTCAAATTTCTGCTTATCAACTGAGATTCAAAATGGCTTTTAAGAAGAGGAAAGATTGTTCCATTTAATCATTTAAAATTTAATAACATTTAATTTATTGCTGTTTTGAAAACCTCAGATAAAAATGTACTATCTAGAGACTTCTAGTTATAGACATGATGGAATTGCTTATATTGGACTGACTCTCCCACAAAAACAAATATAAAAATTTGACAGACTACATAAAACAGCTCTTTAAAGAAATTGGTAGCAACCATGCTGGCCAGACTTGATTGAGGCCACAGTCCCCACAAGAAGGGAAGCATAGTGAGGAAACTCAATATTTACTCTGGCTTTCTCCCAAAGGCATTTGCTAGTTCATAGCACAAGAAGTAGAGTCCCAGCAAAAGGCAGTAGTGCTGCTGTGCAGGGTAGCCAGAGTTTGGGTTAACAATTGCCTGAGAATCTAGAACTTGAGCTAAATCCAAAGTAGGATGGAGAATAGAGTAAAACTGGGATGTACTCAAAACTCAAAAACCTGGAAGTACTCATTTCTTGAGACACATACCAAATCTTAACCTATATGTGCATAGGATAAGACTCCAAGAAATCTAGCAAAAGCCAAGAGACTAAAAATGTAGGCAAATATTTCAACAACATAATGCCAAGGAAACAAAGGGTAGAGTTCCAGGGCTGCCAAAGTAAAGTGGCTCTGACAAACATCCCAGCCATCTGATGAAACCACAGCAGGACCAAGCCCTAGGAGTAAAGTAAAAAGTGAAACAGAAGACCTAAAGTTAGCCTCAAGCAGAACAAAGGAAATCTGTCTGCATTCTACCTGCCTTATAACCTTCTTAGGAGGAATAAAGTATATGCTGAACCTTTATAGTTTTTAATACATAGTATTTGGTGTTGAATAAAAAATTATAACAAAAAAGGTAACAGAAACTGACTTATATGTGATCTAGATACTGTAATTACTAGATTTGGACTTAAAATAGCTGTAATATTTCCAATAAATTAGATGAAAAGATAATTTCACCAAAAATCTAGAATCAGTAAAAGTTAAATGGGAATTCTAGAACTGAAAAATATAACTGAAATTAAGAATTCAGCATATGGATTAAGTAGTGTATCAGACATTTAGCACCTGCCTTCAGCTCGGGGCGTGATCTTGGAGACCCGGGATTATTAAGTCCTGCGTCAAGCTCCCTGGAGGGAGCCTGCTTCTTCCTCTGCCTGTGTCTCTGCCTCTCTCTCTCTCTCTCTCTCTCTCTCTCTGTGTGTGTGTGTGTGTCTCTCATGAATAAATAAATAAAATCTGATTTCCCCAGTGTATAATCTTGGGAGATCCCAGGCTATGGGGAGGAAGCGAGAACCTAAGTGGAGCCTGGGAGACTTCTTGAGTTGAGGTGATGAAGCTGAGAGTACAGGGAGACCAGAGGAGCTAGAGTTTTACAGGATGAAATGCTAGAGAGGAGAGAGCTACACAGAGAGAGAATGCCAGACATCTGCATAAGTTCCCCCTCAGCTCTCAGTAGAGTACTTACTGGTCAGCACATGCATGTGAAGAAACTGTTTGTGGCTAGGGGAGGAACTGTCTACATGGATTAGAGGACACATTACCAGTTGTTTATACAGGTTCAGGAATAGTGCCTCTTCTCACAACTTCATAATTTAAGGGGCCTTAGATACTCAGAATGGTCTTGCTTTAGTAATGGGAAATACTTAGCTCTAGACTAAATAGACCTGAGTGTATTCTGGTCCCACCTTACAAAGCTCAAAAGTGTGGCACAAAAGCATGAAATTGTTTTTCAAGAAATGTAATTCTAGAATAAAGCCCAAGAACATAGAAATACAGAAATATCTGGCACCCAACAAGGTAAATTCACAGTATCTGTTATACAAAGAAATAGGAAAATAGAACCTATAGATGAGATGAAAAATCAATTAAAACTGATCTGGAATTGACATAGATGTTCAATTAGCAGACAAGGACATTAAGACCATTCTTATAACTATTCTGTACTTCAGAACATTAAGACATATAGAAGATGTAAAATACTATAATTGAACTTTCTGAGATGAAGAGTACACTGAATGGGAATAATGGGCAGATTAGACATTCCATAATAAAAAGTTACCAAGTGTGAAGACATAGCAATAGAAACTGTCCAAAATTAAATGCAAAAGTACAAGAAGGAAAAAGGAACAGAGCATTAATGAAATAAGCTTTGAAAAGGACCCAATTTACATGTGTTTGGAGTCTCTGAAGAAGAGAGAATCCCTGGAGAACTGAGGGGGGAGGGACACAACAGAAAAAATATTTGAAGAAATAATGGCTGGAAATTTTCCAAATTTGATGAAAACAGTAAATCCCACA